CGAGTACTGATTATGTTATTCTTGAGGAGATAATGTGCCAACAGTTTCTTGTAGTCCTTATTTGCCTTTTTATGGCTATTCATGGTCATTCACTAACAAGGCAATACAGAAATGTGCATGATATTAGGTACCGTATGAGTGTCCGAATACCAAAAGTAAGTTCTCACTTAAATTGTATTATAAATGATAGTGATATTGTATGTATTGACAAGTTAAGAATGGATAGAAATGCCTTTCATAATTTAGTTCTATTAACTAAGGATGTCGGAGGTTTGACTGATGGTAAGTATATGTCAAGATAGCAATGTTCTTAAACATCTTGGCTCATCACGAGAAGAATAGATCTATCAAGGTCGATTATATTAGATCTGGATGGAGCGTAAGTCAAGCTTTTAATGAGTGCTTGAGAGCTATACTCAAACTAACTCCACTGTTCCTTGTCAATCCTAAACCGATCCTTGAAAATGAGATCGAAGATCGATGGAAATTGTTTAAGGTAGGTGAGATTAATTTTAGTATTTGTTTATGATTGAATAATGTAATTTACTAAGAATTCGTTCTACTACGAGGTAACTCTATATTTTTTATAGGGTTGTTTAGGTGCACTAGATGGTACTTACATTCACATTAGAGCTCCATCTGTGTACAAACCAAGATACAAGACAAGGAAGGGAGATATAGCTACTAATGTATTGGGAGTTTGTGATAGAAATCTCAATTTTACTTATGTGTTACCTGGTTGGGAAGGATCAGCTGCTGATGGTCGTGTATTACGAGACGCTGTAGTGCGGCGCAATGGTTTAAAAATTCCCGAGGGTATGCCATGTACATATGCATATAAGAACACAAAAAGAATGATGCATTTAATTTTTTGAGAAGGTAACTGTACATGAAAAGAATAGAAAAGTAACTAAATTTTATGTTTATATTATAGGTAATTATTATTTATGTGATGGAGGATATACAAATGGAAAAGGTTTTCTTTCACCTTACCGAGGATATAGATATTGGTTAAGGGATTGGCAAGGTGACAACCCCCACCTCGATGTCGAGAAGAACTTTTTAATATGAAACATGCTAGGGCTCGTAATGTTATCGAAAGGGCATTTGGTCTCTTGAAAGGGCGTTGGGGATTTCTTAGGAGTTCTTCGTGGTACTCTGTTAAAGTTCATAACAGAATTACAAGTGCTTGTTGTTTGATTCACAAATACATCCGTGGAGAGATGGATGTGGATCCTTTAGACATGGATATGGAAGAACAAGTTTAGAATCAACCTGAACATATTGATCTTGTTGAATCGTCTGAAGAGTGGACCACTTGGAGGGATAAGTTGACTCAATCAATGTGGAATGCAAGATCTAATCTGTGATGACATGTTAGGTTTTTTTTTGCGATGAATTTAGCTAGCTTGGGCTTTAAGGTCAGCCTTTATGTTTTAGATTTTATACTAGTTAATTAGGAATCTTAAATCCTTTTTGTAACTTTTGGAATCTGTTTTTATGAAATTTGTGATTTTCTTAATATGTTATAATTGTTACTCTTCATCACTTCCTCTAATAGTAAAATTTGACTTTATTTTACAACTCCAAACTCCTAAAACTAAAATAACCCTGCAACACTAGTGCAGATTATAATTTCTGAAAGTTGATAGAGGAAATGAAAACTAAATGATGAGTATGCATATGTATAGAAAAGAATTAGTATTGTTCTTCCTATCTTCGATTTGCAGCAACCATGAAGATGGTCATTAGAGAAAGGAACAAATTGATAATGTCTACATGCAAGACTATAGAGAAAGGAATTTACCTATGTATTGTAGACAATGTATGTACTTGAAGCTAGTCTGTTTCTCGATCTAATTCCACTTGTGAATGTTTGCATGAACATCTGTTGAATGCAATATCTTTTAAGCTTCTAATATGGAGAGCCTAATGCTTTCTGAATATATGAGTTTCTCTTATATTTTGTTTTTTTTATATATAAAGTTTTCTAGAAACAGTTCTTGATTTCATGACAAGGTTATAGATTTGTTCAACTATTCTATGTGTGCATTATAGTTATTATCATTAGTATTTTCTTCCTATTCATTTTTATAATCTATTCCCAAGAATATAAAGGCCAAATGAGCAGTCAAACATCTGCCCACACATCAAAAAGATCAAGAAATTCAACTCCTCCGACTAGAAGGACATGGACTGCAGCAGAAGAACGAACTCTTATAGATGGATTAAAAGCGTTATGTGTTAATGGTTGGAGAGGTGATAATGGAACCTTCAAGCCTGGATACCTAAAGGAATTAGAATGTTATTTATGTGAACATCATCCTAACAGCGGATTAAAAGGTGAACCACATGTCTTATCTAAAATAAGATATTGGAAGAAATGTTACGCAAGTATAGCTATGCTAAAGAGCCGAAGTGGATTGGGATTTCAATACAGTGATGGACCTATAATAGTTGATGATCCCAAATTTTGGGATGACTTCCTAAAGGTAATTAATACTTTATTAAAGTTATTATTAGTATAAGTATTCGTGCATTAGTGTCAACCCAAACATAGCGAGAGATTTTTAGTTGTTCATGATTATAATTATGTATTTATATATGTGTTTTGAAAGAGTTATTAACTGAGTTATACTATGTTGCTTTGTTTTATTTTGTGATTGTTTTCTAGGTTGATCCAAATGCCAAAAACATGAATACGAAAAAATGGCCGATGTTTGTGGATTGGGAGAAAATCTTTGGCAAGGATAGAGCAACAGGGGAATTTGCAGAAGGCCCATTAGATGCTGTTGAGGATATTCAAAGGAGTCAATCCTCAGTAATGTTTAACGATATGAGTTTGGGATATCCTATTGATCTTGATGGCGATGAAGAAGCTGGTTCTAGTCATAGACCTAATGTGACTAAGGGAGAAGCTGGAAATTCTACTGGAGCTACTACATTTCCTGAAGCATCTCAAAATGAAAGTGCTGAAGCATTTGAACCTGAAGAAGCTGGATCTCAACAAACCAAATAAACAAGGTGAGTATACCAAAAGGTCGTCTAATGTCAATGAAAAGGAGAAATGCAAGAAAAGAAAAAAGATTTCGGAGAATGATTCTGAGATATTTCTTAAGGGTATGGTTGAGGTTTTAAAAAACTTTACTGACAGCCAAGACAAACGAATGGGTGCCTTGATTGACAAGATTGGAAATCGTGACCAATCTGATCTTCGTGATCAAATTTATTCCATCATTGAATCCCATATGTTTGAGTTGTACTCCACAGAGCAATGCATCAAAGCAACAATGATTCTTTGTGATGACGTCAAAAATATGGAATTATTTATACGCATGGGTGAACTTGAGCGTCAAACTATGATGTTTATGATGATCAAGATAAACTTTGAAGTATGGTAGACTTCAAGATAAGTGGAAAGTTCATTTTGCTAGTTTTGCTTAATTAAAGACCTTTAAATATTTGAGTGTAGTGTCACTTTTTGATACCTCGAATTATGTCCTATATTGGAAATGATTGGCGTAAGACGGACACGAGGACAGTAGCTTTTGTGTAACTAGAATCTATGGAAACACTTGAATGTGGTGTAACTTGTAATAAACTCAAAATGATGTATGTAAATGTGTTTATTTGACTTGCTTTTGTCAATTGATGTACTTGATTCTTGCTTCTCTTTTTCTACTTTTCTCAGTATATACTGAAATGTAAAATGTGTTGTGAATGGATGTTGGATATATATATTCCTTCTTTTGTGTTGTACTTTGTTCGTTCTTTTCCGTTGTTGTTATTCACTTCAAAGTCAAGCTGATATAAGTGAGCATGAGTTGTTTGGCCTTCTGCATTTGCTCACTGCACTTATTCTGAGTGGTTATTTAATTTTCATTTCGCTCTAGTATATAACCGAATGCACACCCCTAATTAACACGCGTTGGCTACGTGTCACGAAGCAACGATGTTCGTGTCGATCACTTTCTCAAGTCAAAAAAGTGATTTTCAGATATCTTAAGAGCAAAGATAAAGGAAGAGTCTTTCGATGAAAGCAATAGAGAAGGTAATAATAATAGTATAAAGGACAAAAGGGCATTTTTTTTGGCTTAAGAAGAAGGAATTGAAATTCACAACAACAGATGAGAGTGATTCGAAGTAGAGCAATACTGATAGTACTTTTTCTGCTTTCTGCGTTTGGGTTAAGCGAACAAGGGGATTCTGCACTGAAGACAAGAACTCCTGCTCAAGCTCGTCCCTTAGGACAAAACTGACACTTTGACGTGCAGCCAAAATAGACTTTGGATTCATCTTGAAACTTCTAAAAGAAACCTCAAACCTGCAAAAAGGGGTTCGTTTTTATTTTTGCAGCATTGTCTATGATAGAATAGCAAAGAAAATGTTTGAAGTTTTATACAGGCTTGCAACTTCTTACTAACGGCCATTTGTTTTGCTTTCATCAAAGTGATACGATGCGTTCGTATTCAAGTCATATCAGTAGCCTTCCTTACTATTGTATGATGCTTCTGGTCTATTTTAGGCATAAGCTTGAATTTCATTACAAACTTGGCCAAATTTGCTTAAAGTTAGTTATTATTGGCACTTGCAAGATGTTAATTCCATGCAACTTAAGAACTAGGAGAAGAATTGGGACGTTGCATATTTGTTATCCATCAGATTTTAAAGGCTGATTTGCTTTATGACAAATGAAGTTTTACAGTGTTCAATATTTGAGTTAGAGACAATGTAGCAGGAAAGCTTCAGGTGGCTTTCTCTGGTTGCTTAATTTTGCTAACTTTATATGAAGTTGTGATCAAACTATATTTCTTTTAGCATTAGCAACTTCTGTTGTTGTCCACCTTACTTGAACTTTAGTTTTATTTTATATTTTCTTGTCTTCTTAAGAGAAGAGGGAGGTACGCATTTGTCGTGATAATTAAAATAACGCCTTCTCATTTATGACTTGAGGTTTCCTCAAGTGAATTAAGTTTGTTAAGCACTTCATATTCAAGTTGTAAACGTAATAGATATGGTAATTACATGAAATAGATAACTTAATAATTCAAGGGTAAAATTGGAAAAAAGTTATTTTTTAGGAGTTTTAAGCCAAACACAAGATTTGAATAAGCAATAAACCAAACATTGGATAAAAAATAATCTCTGCATTGCTAATCCCTGCATTGTTAATCCCTGCATTACTATTCCCTGTATTAATCCTTATTGTACCAAACGACTCCTTAAAGTCCAAAATCCCTTTGTTTTAGTCCTTTGGGATTGCTGCAACCTGTTATTGTATAAATTGAATTTTTTATAATCCAAAATTCTCAATTTTAATCCCTTTGGGAGTGCTGCTACTGCTGATTTATAAGGTTTTAACCCAATATATCAGCTTTCCGTACGTAACTTGGTAGAGATTTGACTCGAAAAGAAAAGAACGCAAGGGAACGGAAAGTCTGAATGGACTCAAACGAGTGAGTTCATGCAAAGAAAATGAGGAAAAGGATTAGAACCAATACGAAACAGATCAAATTAAACTATAACTTAAGATGCTTATGAGAATTGTAATAAAAGAAATCATTCCGTGCTTAGAGAGTACAATGCTTATGAGAATTGTAATAAAAGACATCATTCTTTGCTTAGAGAGTACAAACAAACGGGGAAAATAAATTAACCTTGTATCTACCTAGAGCAAAGTAATCAAACTAATTCAAAGATAATAAATGCGCCGAACCATGATCAATACATAAGACAATAATCTTAAGGCAAAAAAACAACTACATAACAAGGGTTCCAAAATCAAATAAGAATGACAATAACTAGAAGCACATGTATAGATTTATCGACTCGACTAAGTAAGAGAAACATTCTCTAAATTATCAAAAAATCGATTATAAGGAGAGTGTAAATTAGCTAGACTTAAATAGATAACTTAAGCGAAATTGTACTTTATCTAACTAATCCATCATGATTCTTTTACAAATAAATTCAACTAAGATGATTTCAGTAAGCCTAATCTTTATAAATTCTCACAGAATGTAAATGATGAAAACTTATATGTATTTACAAGAACTAAATAAAAAAACCCACCAACATTGAAATACAACCAGACAAGGCGGTGCATAAAACAACCATTAATACCAACTAAAGGATAATAACAGAAAGGGAAGGAAAGAACATGCTGATAAATTGGAGCAAAACAACTGCTGGAAAGAAAATAACATGGACACCATACTCGGGTTAGGAAATCAAGACGAGTAAACTTGAATGTATAAAACGGAGAGGTAACTAAACTAAACCGACAATAAACCTTTTTCAATCATCATTAAGACTAGATAAAGGTAACCATGGCACAAGAAGATACAACAATTCCATCACGAATAACAACACTTCAAAAGATTTTCAAATCAAAGAAACGAAACAATCACGCATATCAGCTTTGACAACTAAAATGCTTGAACAGGAAAATCACAACTCTAACTCCATTCAACATTGATTAAACTTATCCTACGACAATAGCAAATGCTGAAATTAAATTAACAGAGAGGAAGCCATAACTATCTCACACTATTCTTTTTATTATGAAGACAATAACTACTAACTACTAATCAACCTAGAATGCCGAATTTACACATACAAACTTAGCTATCGGATTGCAACAACATAGAAGGGGAATTACCTGGCCCTGAGCAGTGAATATAATAAGCAATCGATATTGCTAAACTTGAAAATAAATAACTCATACTAAACTAAGCTCTATGTCTCAAAGTTAAACCCATAATGAATATTCAAAATTCAACCTCGAATAAAATTAAGCTCACGTAAACAAACAGACATTTAATACCTTAAAACTTATCCGGGACAAACAGATAGCAGAAAATAAGATGATACCGCCATATTGCAATTAATGGTAACTTTCAAGAAATTTTGTACTCAAATTCAAGCAGGGGTCTAAAGATAGTGAATCAATAGACTTTAGGACGCGTAAAAGCCATGATATAAGCTTTTGTTTGTCGAAGCCTATCGTTTTGGAAAATGATAACGAGCAATCCCAAAGATAACTAATTTTGAACACAAAACAAGGTTGTACAACTAGCAAGACTAATGTCTTTTTAGGTTGTTTTCCATCTAATCTGAGAATGTAATGCAAAACAAAACCAACCAAGTAAATTTTGCTATTAATCCTAAACAGGTTCATATTACACAAAAAAAAAAAGAAAAAATAAATCTCAAAAGAACTTTAAATCATATCAGAAATACCATAGCCTTCTCTAATCACATGATTCATCCTAGTCTAAAAACAAGAAAATTCTTATGATTCATCCTAATCTATAGAATAATAATTTTTTTAAGCAGTTATATGATAACAAACTCAAACAACATAAGGAAAATTCAAACGTTCATCACAAAAAAATTTTCATCGATATATAGAGATTAAGACACACAACCAGACTTAAATCAGCTTTAACACATAGAGTAAAATTCAACTAACAGGAAAGGAAAAGAAAGAGTTACTTGGTTGTGGGAAGCAAACCAAAAAGACGAGTAGGGAAGACGACACCACCATTACTTTCAACTCGAACAACGCCTAATATTAAACTTTTGAACCAAGATTTCCCAAAGCTTTTTTGGGTACTCTCTCGTTGCAAAATCCGCCCTTTAAATAGTGAAGAGAGGGGCTTTTTATAGCACCCAAAAATCTTCAAATTTTGAGAATATTTTCAATGTGGGAGGAACCATTTTTTCGAAAATTTCTTAGAGGCTCAGACTCCAGTGAGTTGGAATAGTACGAATTTGAAACGAAATTTAAAAGAAACAAAGAAATTTGACAGAACCTACCACACCATGGCTGCCTTTGGAAGCTCCATGTGTCTTTGGTCTCGTGCCAAGCACGCTCTTGCTGTACAAATTTGATGTAGAAAAGAGGAAATTTGAGTTCATGCAAATAAAATGAGGAAAAATGATTAGAACCAATATGAAACAATATCAAATTAAACTAATAACTTTGTCCTTTTACCCTCTCTTAAATAAATTGCAAGAGAAATAAATTAGTATTTAATTAACTATCAAGCTTCTTAACTTTAACAATATAAAATAATTCTTTAATAAAAAATTAATTATTATTCCAAAATAAAGAGAGTAGTTATTACTCTATTTTCAGTAAAATTGTCTTTATTGAAGATATATATATTTTATAGAAAAATGATCAAATTGTCTCGAAAATGGTTTTGAAAGATTCTTAAATAATTATTTTAAATTGTTTGAAATTAAAGAAGCTTGAAAATTAACTAAATTATGGAGGGCCAATACTGGGTGTCAACACTAATACTTATCTTATTATTATTTTTCTTAAACTAATCAAAGTTTTAATTAGTACTGCAATTAGTCTTATTTTCAATAAGTATATAATTACTCTAAAACAATGTTGCTCCAACAATGTCGCTGAATATGAAGCACTAATACTTGGACTTGAAATGGCCGTTGACATGAAATAATTACATTTACAGGTCTTTGGTGACTCTCATTTGGTGATTAATCAACTCTTAGGAAGTTATGAGATAAAAAAACCTGAATTGCGACCTTATCATGATTATGCTCAAAAGTTGATAAGATGGCTTGAGGATCTAACCCTTCAACATGTGCATCGAACAGAGAATAAGAAAGCTGATGCATTGGCTACTCTAGCTTCAACGTTAACCCTTCCTGATCAAACACAAGTAAATGTCTGTCAGAAATGGATAGTACCACCGTCAAATAAGGAAGAATATATTGAAAATAAGCTTAATCATATCGTCGCCATGGTTGAAGCTGCGAAGGAAGTTTGGACACAACCCATCATTGACTACCTATGTTACGGGATACTTCCAGAAAATCGAAGAAGAAGAACTGACTTACGTCGTCGTGCACCTCGTTTCCTTTACTACAAGGATACATTATATATAAGATCATTTGAGGGTATGTTATTACGATGTTATGGAGAGGAAGAAGTGATTCAAGCTCTGCAAGAAGCACACTCAGGAGTATGTGTATCACATCAATCTGGACCAAAACTTCATTTTCACATAAAGAGGATGGGGTATTACTGGCCAACCATGGTGAAAGATTTCTTATATTATGCCAGGAAATGCGATGCTTGTCAATTTCATGCAAATTTCATTCATCAGCCACCCGAAGTATTGCACCCAACCATTGCATCTCGGACATTTGACGCTTGGGGACTGGATATTGTAGGACCATTACCAAAGTATTCTGGTGGACACTTGTACATTTTGGCTGCAACTGATTACTTTTCAAAATGGGCTGAAGCTGTCGCTCTTAAAGAGGTGAAGAAAGCGAATGTTGCAAATTTTTTATCCGAGTAAATATTATCTATCGCTTTGGCATCCCTCGCTATACAATAATAGACAATGGCAAACAATTTGATAACAAGTTAATGAACAAGATTTGTGATCTTTTTGACTTTAAGCAGCGTAAATCTTCTATGTACCCTGCTGCTGTTAATGGTCTTGCTGAAGCATTCAATAAGACTCTATGCAACCTACTCAAGAAAGTTGTCTCCAAATCCAAACGGGATTGGCATGTAAGAATGGAAGAAGCTTTGTGGGCATATAGGACAACATATCGCACACCAACTCAAGCAACACCATATTCACTTGCTTTTGGAGTTGAAGCAGTCCTGCCATCGAGCGTCAAATACCCTCCCTAAGACTTGCTATTCAAGAATGACTCACTGAGGAAGAAAATGCTCGATTGCGTCTTGCTGAGTTAGAAACACTTGATGAAAAGAGGTTAGAAGCTCAACAAAACCTTGAACGTTATCAAGCTCGCCTATCTCGTGCTTTTAATAAGAAGGTTCGCTTGAGGTGCTTTCAACTTGGAGATCAAGTTCTCGTGGTAAGAAGACCCATCATTACTTCGCACAAGTCTGGGGGAAAATTTACCTCAAAGTGGGATGGACCATATGTCGTACAAGAAGCATATTCAAATGGTTCTTACAAGCTTGTTGATACTGATGGCTTAAGGATCGGTCCTACTAATGCCAAATTTCTAAAGAGAGACTATCCTTGAAGGAAGATGATGCTCCTTAAGGTACGAGCCTAAACTGCATGTCACTCCTGGCCCGCAAGAGTATAAACTGTGTACGGCACAACCACAAAAAAAGAAAGAATAATCACTCAAATCCCCAGAATTACGTTGTGACTTGATCCTCTTTATTGAGGTACGTAGGTGCTTAGAACCATATTCTAAGTTCAGTTGCATGAGTGTCAAAAATAAAAATGTTCCCACTTAAATTCAAAGAAAAGTCAAAGCGATATGTATTTTATCTTTTGTCTCATCAAACTTTAGACTTGTACGAAGTATTGATGGGTCTATGGAAGGGGCAAACCCTTATAAAATATGAATCTCTTATTAGTACGGTGGAAGTCTCTAAATTATATCAAGTATGCAAATTGAAGTCTTTATATTCTTCGAGTTTATTATTTGAAGTATCCAAATTCTCTGAGTATACAAGTTGAAGTATTCAAATACTCTAAGTATGAAGGTAAGACTTCAAGTATGTAATTAGAATACTCCAAATCCGTATGTAATTGAATTCCATGCCTAAAGGTGCGCGAGGTTTATCCCTTTGCACCTTAAGCTAGCTTTGTTGTGGATTATCCCTCAATAGATCTTTGAATTTCTATGTTTTAAGGTGGACAAACTTGTCCCTTTGCACCTTAAGCTAGGACTTTTCACGGATGTATACTTAAAAGAATCTTTTTAAATTTTCATGTCTTAAGGTAGACAATATTTGTCCCTTTGCACCTTAAGTTGACCTTTTCACTGGTGTATATTTAAAAGGATCTTTAAATTTTTCATGCCTTAAAGTGGACGATATTTGTCCCTTTGCACCTTAATCTAGCTTTGTTGCGAATTTATCCTTCAACGAATCTTTAAATTTCTATGCCTTAAGGTGGACAAACTTGTCCCTTTGCACCTTAAGCTAGATTCTGACAGATTTATCTTTAAATTTTCATGCCTTAAGGTGGACAATATTTGTCCCTTTGCACCTTAAACTGGTCTTTTCACGGGTTTATCATGTCTCAAGTTGGTTAAGCATTCAGGACCTTGTAACACCTTGAGTTTATCTTCAAGGCGAGAGCGTTACACGGCATCCTATTAAAGCTTTAAGTTGGTTTAACATTCGAAACCTTGTAACACCTTGAGTTTATCTTCAAGGGGGGAGCGTTACACGGCATCCTATTAAAGCTTCAAGTTGGTTAAACATTCGGAACCTTGTAACACCTTGAGATTATTTTCAAGGGGGGAGCGTTACATGGTATCCTATTAAAGCTTCAAGTTGTTCAAGCATTCGGGACCTTGTAACACCTTGAGTTTATTTTCAAGGCGGGAGTGTTACACGGTATTCTAGTAAAGCTTCATTGTCAAACATTCAGGACCTTGTAACACCTTGAGGTTATCTTCAAGGCGGGAGCGTTACATGGTATCCTATTAAAGCTTCAAGTTGCTCAAGCATTCGGGACCTTGTAACACCTTGAGTTTATTTTCAAGGCGGGAGTGTTACACGGTATTCTAGTAAAGCTTCATGGTCAAACATTCAGGACCTTGTAACACCTTGAGGTTATCTTCAAGGCGGGAGCGTTACATGGTATCCTATTAAAGCTTCAAGTTGGTCAAGAATTTGGGACCTTGTAACACCTTGAATTTATTTTCAAAGCGGGAGCGTTACACGATATTTTAGTAAAACTTCATGGTTAAGCATTCGGGACCTTGTAACACCTTGAGGTTATCTTCAAGGCGGGAGCATTACACGGTATTCTAGTAAAGCTTCAAGTTGGCTAAGCATTCGGGACCTTGTAAAACCTTGAGGTTATTTTCAAGGTGGGAGCATTACGCGGTATTCTAGTAAAGCTTCATAGTTAAACATTCGGAACCTTGTAACACCTCGAGTTTATTTTTAAGAGGGGAGCGTTACACTGTATTCTAGTAAAAGCTTCAAGTTGATTAAACATTCGGGACCTTGTAAAACCTTGAGGTTATTTTCAAGGCGGGAGCATTACACGGTATTCTAGTAAAGCATCAAGTTGGTTAAGCATTCGGGGCCATAGAACACCTTGAGAGCATTATTTATTTATTTTGTTAAGGCATGGACATTAAGCAAATTTTTATGTGATAAATCCTTTCATTATGTAGCCTCCATAAAATATAAAATTTCTTTTGCTGATCTACACACACACACAAAAAAATACCCGTCAAGATGTTTGAGACTCGAAAGATATTAAATCTTGAATCTTGGATGTGTTGTAGACCTTTATGTCTAGATTAGGAATCACCAAGTGGATTGTGATTTCGCTGTTCCTACGTCAAGACACGAGATTTTTAGTAAGTCACACAAATCTGAAATTTTTTTGCATGGCAGAATCTAGAGCTAACTTCAAAAAATCATCTAGAAAGATTCTGAAGATATTAAATTTTGAATTTTGGATATGTAAGAGATCTAAAAGCCTAGTTTCTGAAAAAACAAACAGTTCATAATTTTGAGTTTTCGACAATAAGATATCAATTTTCTACGACGAACATATCAGGCTGTAAAAAAGTGACGAATTTTTAGCATGACAGAACCTAGAGCTAACTTCAAAAAATCATCTAGAAAGATTCTGAAGGTATTAAACTTTGAATTTTGGATATGTTAGAGATTAAAAAGTCTAGTTTCTGAAAAATCAAACGGTTCATTTTTTTGAATTTTCTGCAATGAGATATGAATTTTCTACGACGAACATGTCAGGCTGTATAAAAGTGACGAATTTTTAGCATGACAGAATCTAGAGTTAACTTCAAAAAATCCTCTAGAAAGATTATGAAGGTATTTAATTTTGAATTTGGGGTATGTTAGAGATCGAAATATCTAGTTTCTGAAAAATCAAATGGTTCATGATTTTGATTTTTCTACAATGAGATATGAATT